AAATGACCTGGGCCGAAGAACGGATAAAGGAGGGCCTCGCAGATGCCGCAGATGAAGGCATCGACGGAGGGATTTGCCAACAAGGTGGAGGAGAGTCTCGCCACCAAAAGGCAACGCTCGACCGAGAGTGCCAAGAACGACACTCCGGTGAGCAAGCGGCAACGCGGGCCCAAGGTGGCAGCCCCCACACCCAAACAGGCGAAACGTCCCCAAAAAGCGAAGGTCAGTGAGGTGACCAAACGACATTTAATCGTGGCACTCATTGACCGGAGCGAAGAGAATGGCAAAATAACGGCGGCGCGGTGGAAGATGGTGCACGCGCGGCTCGTGGATGCGCTGTTCGCCAGAATGGAGGAGGACCCAACGGCCCCCATGCCCACGTTCGATGGTGCAGGGTGGCTCAACGGCGTAAAAATACTTAAATGTATTGACGACCCTACACTCAAGTGGCTGACGCAAACGGTCTGCCAACTGGAAGCGTTGTGGGAGGGGGCCAAGCTGGAGGTGGCGGACAGGGAGCTAATCCCGTCCATACCAAAGGCAAAGGTACTCTTCCCCATCGTAATCCAAGGGGACCGTGCGCTGAAGCTGCTACAGAGGCAGAACCCCGATGTGCCAACGGCTAACTGGAGGATTCTGCATATCGGGAGCCCACTACCCAACGAGGGGGGCCAGAGTGCGATCATCCAGATCAGCAAGGAGGCAGAGGACCTGCTATACCCAAGATTCGGGAAGATGGCGTGGGGGATGGGCAGTGTTTAACTGCGGCTGAGAAATCGCCACCCCGAGGACAAAGATGCGCACACTCTGCAGGCTGGCGAGGTGGAGAAGGACCTTGGTCTGGACACCATCGTGGAGGCCGCACAGGGTCTTGCGCTGGACTCGGAGGAAGAGGGGGAGGACGGTGACCTGACGGTAGTAGTCAACCCGTCGAGTGGAGCTGAGCCAGACGCACATGGTGAGTGTGCTGCAGCTCAACCTCCACAAGAGTAAAATTGCGTCGGCGGAGCTCCTCTTTGCCATGGAGCAAGGGCCCGCCGACATAGCCTTAGTCCAGGAGCCATGGGTTGCCTCAGGCAATGCTGTGGCCGGGCTAAAGTCCTCAAATTTTAACGTATTCTATACACCATCGGTAAGCAGGAACAGAACCGCCGTAATCGTACGGAAGGGAATCCATGCTCACCTTATGTCTCATTACAGCACTGACGATCTAACCGTGGTGATGCTAGAAAGCAAGGAAAGGCGCCTGATGGTAGCCTCCTGCTACATGGCACACGACAGGCCGGCTTCACCTGAAGAGTTGATGCACCTAGTGGCGGAATCCAGCCCGAAGGACCAGCAACTTCTCGTCGGCACGGACGCAAACGCACATCACAACGTGTGGGGAAGCCCCGACATCAACGATAGAGGTGAGTCCCTCCTAGACTTCATACTATCAACTAACCTAGAAGTAGCAAACGTAGGAGAGGAATACACCTTTGTAGGTCCCACCTCTTCAAACGTGCTAGACTTAACACTCGTAGCGGGAACAAGTACGGTGGTATCTGGCTGGAGAGTCCTTGAAAGACCATCCTTCTCAGACCACAGGTACATCCAGTTTAAGTGCGAATTTGAACACTCTCCGAAGATAACTGTCTATAGAAACCCCCGGAACACAAACTGGGAAAAGTTTAAAAAGACAGTTACCTCGAAGCTCGCGAATCGTCCGGGCACAGCGAAATCCCGGAAGACATAGAAACGTCCCTAGAGACCCTATCCAGGGAACTACTGGATGCGTACCACGCATCGTGCCCACCCTCGAGAACGAAAAAGAGGACCAAACCACTCTGGTGGAACCGGGACCTATCGCTCCAAAGAAACAACCTCAAAGAATTCTTCAAAATCGCCAAACAGGCGAACGAGGATATGATCAATGAGGAATACAAAACCCTACTCAGGGAGTACAAGAAGGAAATACGCAGGGCACAAAGAAACTCGTGGAGGAACTTCTGCTCCAATATCGAGAAAGTCCCAGAAACGGCTAGACTTCGGAAGCTGCTATCAAAGCAACCTACCATACAGAATCAGCTGAAGCGAGAAGATGGACAGTGGACTGAGGGCAGTGAAGAAGCCCTAACAGCACTAATGGAAGCTCACTTCCCAGGATGCACCGAGGTTGCTGACGCTACAACGCATCAGGACCTAGCAACTGAGGAAGAGCATCCCCCAACAGGTCTCATATCGTCTAAGAAAATCCACTGGGCTATAGACTCCTTTGCGGGTACAAAAGCACCTGGACTAGACGGTATATTCCCAGCCATGCTACAGGTGACCAAAGACGTGATCACCCCATGGCTCTCTGCAATATACTCAGCTTGCCTGAGCTCGGGCTATATCCCTATTTAATGGCGGACCTCAAGGATTGTCTTCCTTCCAAAGGCAGGAAAGTGCAGCCATATGAGCCCCAAGGATTACAGACCGATAAGCCTCACCTCCTTTCTACTCAAAACACTAGAAAAGCTGCTGGATCTACACATCAGGAATGATGTAGGGAGACTGATGTCAACCAACCAGCATGCCTACACCAAAGGGAAATCGGTAGAGACGGTACTGCACTCGCTAGTAGCCACCATCGATAGAGCCCTCCATAATAAAAAGTATGCTCTAGGAGTGTTCGTAGACATATCCGGAGCATTCAACAACGTCACTATGAGCGCTATTATGGACCGCCTAGAAGCGACCAATACACATCCCGCAATCAACCTCTGGATAAAGAACCTTCTAAGTTGCAGACGGGTGCAATCAGAGTGGGGCACCGCTTCCAAGAGGGGGGCGCATAGAGGCACACCACAAGGTGGGGTCCTGTCGCCCCTCCTGTGGAACCTGGTGGTCGACGACTTAATAAAGAGATTCGAGAGGAGAACCCCAAAAATAACAGCCTATGCAGATGACATAAGCATAATTATTACGGGAGTATGTCCATCGACCCTCAGCTCCATAATGGAATCAACACTCAGGGAGATATGTGAGTGGGCAGGAAAAGTAGGACTCAGTATCAACGCGGACAAGACGGACCTCATTCTCTTCACCAAGAGATACAAGGTACCGGCATGGATCCCCCCGAAAATTAAAAAAAACCAGTCTGACCCCTAAAACACAAGTCAAATACCTCGGCATAGTACTGGACAGGAAGCTGGCGTGGAGACCCAATGTAGTGGAAAGGGTGAAGAAGGCCACCATTGCGCTATACGCATCCAAGAAGATGCTCAGCAGCACATGGGGCCTGTCACCTGCTTTAATGCACTGGATCTTCATATCGGTGGTGCGACCGACTCTGCTGTACGGAGTCTTAGTGTGGTGGCAAGCGACAGAAAAGAAGACGTACAATAAGCTTATGGAAAGGACCCAGCGGCAGGCACTGCTCTGCACTACGGGGGCGCTGAGGTCAACCCCAACAAAAGCTCTCGAAACCATAATTGGAATCGACCCCCTGGACATCCACGCTCAACTGATTGCAGCAAAGGCGGCACAACGCTTAGTAGCATCAGGAAACATGTCTCTACAGGGATTCGGGCACAGTTCAATTGGCCGAGACATGACCAGTATATCTGACTACATTATCCCCCAAACTTGCCTGGACGTAAACACAACCTCATTTATGGGACCCGACGACTGGAAAAGGGGTCGGGACCAGACCCAACACATCAACATATACACGGATGGCTCCAAGATAGAGGAAGGAGTAGGTGCGGACATAATGTACAGACCCTGAAATAAGGCTGTCCTATAAGCTACCGGACCAATGCGGCATATTCCAGGCAGAAGTCTTTGCCATACGGAAAGCGGCGGAGGTTGCTCGATGTACGGAACGCCCACATAATGTGATCAACCTGTTCGTGGACAGCCAGGCGGCGATAAGATCCATGCAGTCGTCAGCGGTCAGTTCCAAAAATGTCCTGGCAAGCAGGGAGGCATTAGATTTCCTAAGCACGACTAAGTCAGTGCGGATCTATTGGGTTCCCAGCCACCAGGGCATCGAAGGCAACGAGACAGCAGACGTACTGGCTAAGGAAGGCGTCGGGCTGGCAAACGAGAGGACTGAGAACGTGCCTGTCTCCCTCAGAGCGCTCCAAAGCGATCTAGAAAGGAGGGCACACATACAGGCCAGCAGCAGGTGGAGGAGAACCACCAACTGCAAGATCGCGAAAACCATGTGCAAGGAGAGCAATGGTAAACTCAGCCAATACCTACTACACCTACCACGGAAGGACTGTAGGATGCTAATAGGTATACTCACAGGTCATTGCCTGGCTGCAGCACATGCAGTCAAACAAGGCATCACCAACAGTGACAAGTGCAGGAAATGTGATCAATCTGGGGCTATCGAAACCCTGGAACATCTAATCTGCCAATGCCGGACACTCAGAAGGTCCATACGCACCAATCCGGACAACTAAGGGCCATATTGGCCTATGCGTGGCCCCGTGAGGGCCGTCCGGGACAACCTAACCTAACCTATACTTATGGGATCTTACGTTCTATATAACAACGAATCGTTTCTTAATTTCTATACGCTCTCGCGCCACCGGCCCCTCAGGCTCCTCGCTGGTGCTGTGGCTATGCGTCCGACCTGGCTCACGCCTCATCTACACACACAACTCCGCACCCACCGAGTCGCTTTTGATCGCATTGGCGATAGCGGTACCTGTCGTCCCTCCTTTGGCACCTCGCAGACCTTGTTCCTCTTGCTGGGCCGTACTGCTGCCTGTTGGTTGGGTCACTTTGATCCTTCCTTGGACTCTCACGTTGACTCTCCTTGTCAGTTGTTCTACCGCACTCGCTTGTGTTCGCTCTTTTTCCTCGTTGCTCGCACTCTACTGACTGTCCTCTTTCACTGTTGCCGGGCTCCTCTTATACCCTCGCTTCGACGCTATCGTCCGCGCCTCTGCCTAGCAACAGCGGTAAATCCGTGCGTCGCTGGTAATTTTCCATCGGCCTCTTCGCTTGATTCCCTCACGTTCTTAACGGGACCGAGCTGGTGGCGTGATCTCATGTCCATACATGGACATGCGCTGGACCGCTGCCGGCCCGCTCCCGCCGTTCCTAGCCTGACGCGAGCGCCGCTCCTTGCGTGCTCCTCCATTCCCGACTCTCTCCACGGGCTCGTACCGGAGGCATGATCTCATGCCCATATATGGTCATGCGTTGGACCCCTGCCACTCTAACGGAACCCGGCTCCCGGCCGGCTCTCACTCTCTTGTGAATTCGCCGTGAATTCTCTTCTTAACCCTTACTTGGTTCCCTTGTGAGGAAACTCCATTCCTCACACTTCCCCCTTTCTTTACCAGAGGAAAACTCCCTTCGTTTTCCTTCCGGCCACTTTCCATTTGAATTCAAGCGTGCGCGCGGGCGCGCACTCACGCTGGTTCCGGACTGATTCCTCCATTGCCCGATCGGTTCGCCACCTATCGGATCGGGTCTACCGATGTAGTTCCGGAACCAACTCCGTGGATGATTCTCCAGATAGGTGCGCGCTTTGCGTGCACGATAGGTGCGCGCCTCGTGTGCACGACAGGTGCGCGCTTCGCGTGCACGATAGGTGCGCCTCTGATCGTGCTGCCAGACCCTCTTCACGTGTTGCCGGATCGCTCCCATTTTCACGTGTTGATTCCGCTTGCGGTATCTATTGTATACGCTGGCCGGCCGCGTTTTCGCGTAAGTTTTTAAGCTACTGCCCTCGTGGGCTCTGTGTACCTCGCGTGTTAACCCCACGACTAGCCCGACATCAAGCTGCCATGCCCTGGGTAAGTTGTTCTTCATATTCTTTATTCTTTGATTCATTTCATTCACAAATTTGTTCCCTCCCCCATTTCATACCTCGACGGACACCTCGACCTGGTTTGCCGACACCCGGTACCGCACCCCGCGGACCCTCACGAGACGCTTTACGCGTCGGCCGATCCGGGGTGTGCCTTCCACTGCCCGAGCCACTGCCTCCGGCCATTCTTCGATGTCCACGTGTCGCCAGCGGACATTCTCCCCCGTCGGCTCCTCCATCGACTGCTGTCTCTGCAGCTGCGGCCGGGCGACCTCAGCCCTGGGATCTGGGCACGACGATTGCCGCATTGGGACAGGCCTAGCCTTGGCTTTCGCAGGTGAGGGCCACACCCACGGACCGCGCTCCCACCTCTCACCTTCCGTGTCCTCTGCCGGTTCTTTCGACGCCGTCGCTGGCGCTGCCGGTTCCTCCGTCACCGTCGCTGCCGCTGCCGCCTCTTCCGTCGCTGCCGCTGCCGCCTCTTCCGCCGCTGTCGGTGCCTCTGTCGCTGCCGCTGTCGATGCCTCTGTCGCCGTCGCAGCCGGTGCCTTCGCTGCTGCGTGTGTTCCCGCTGCCGCTGTCGCTGGCTCCCGCGCCTCCGACGTCGTCTCCTCTGCCATCCTGGCCTCTGCCTGCCTCCGGTGCTGCCGTGGATCACGCGTGTTGCTTCGCGGGACTGGTTCCTCCTCCCATACCTTCCGGTCTTCCTGCGCCTCCGATGGTGCGAGTCCCGACGCCCACGTTATGTGTATAGTTTGGTGGTGCCATATCATGCCATTCCTTACCGTCGTGTGAACGTTTTGCGACACAAATGGGCCGCACACCGCGTTCTCCGGACCACCCCACTGGGGCTGCTGTGCCTCTTCCTGTGGCGACTCCTTCGGTGCCTCCTCCTGTCGTGGCGACGACTGTTGTGGCGGTGAGTTCGGTGGTGGTGATTTTGGTGGCGGTGACTGCGGGGGCGTTGGCTGTTGCGTGCTCTGTGGCTGCGGCGGTGGCTCGGGATGCCGGCGTTCCCATAAGGGTGCCTCCTCACCCTGTTGTGGTTGCTGCTGCCCCGCCGGTCCGTCAAACAGACCCGTCTTAACTTTGAGGAACCTCGGAGGAGGCGGAGCCTCCTCCTCGTTCCTCTTGTGAGCTTCGGCTTCATGGCGCGCGGCCTCCATCTGCCACTGCAGGGCGGCCTGTGCTTCCCGCATTATGGCCTTGTTCAGCGCCGCCTCCCTTTGCGCCTTCTCCGCTGCCTTGCTTCGGGCCTCCTCCTCACGTCGCCGCTCTTCCTCGCGTCGTCGCTCTTCTTCGCGCCGCCGCTCTTCGTCGCGTCGTCGCTCCTCCTCGCGTCGCCGCCCCTCTTCGCGTCGCGCCTCTGCTGCTGCTCGCCGGTTGCGCTGCTGCTCCATATGGCTCCTCCGCATGGCCTCGGCTGGTGGCCGCGCTGCTGGCGTCGCTGTCGGCTGCGCTGCTGGCGTCGCTGGCGGCTGCGCTGCTGGCGTCGCTTTAGGCTGCTCTGCTGGCGTCGCTGTCGGCTGTGCTGAGGCCTGCGCTCTCCGTTGCAACGGTACCTCTGCCATCCCTCTCTGCTGCCTTGCCGTCGGCTGCGATGGCGTTGCTGGCGGCATGGTTGTCATAGGCTGCTGCGGCTCCCGTTGCCCTGCAGCTTCGCGCTTCTGCTCACGCAAATAGCGTTCCGCCGATCGGATGGCGATTCCGAGGAACGCTGCGTCGCGTCGCAGCTCCTGCTCCCGTGCCCGCTTCTCCTCGTCGTTGAGCTGCATTCTCCGGAGCTCGGCTCTCCTTGGAGCCGGCTCGACGGAGACCACCACCACGTCGCTGTCTTCGCTGTCCTCCTCCTCCGTTGCTCCTGGCGACACTTCCGGCTCCCGTCTGCTTCGAGGAGACGCCCACGAGGACCACTCGCTCCTTGGGGATGCCATGGGACTTCCAAATGGGGACGCCATGAGCTCCAGCTCTGGAGTCTCGCTCCGCCGATCGCGAGGGCTCCGCCCGTCGCTGGATCTCGGGACTGCGGCTCCCCACACTTCTGGCTTGTTCCTCCAAGTACATTTTCAACATGGCGTTTTTTTTTCTCCTTTTTTTTCCTCCTGTTTAAATCCGCGCTTGCGTCTGTGTCTGGATACCTCTGGCTCGTGACTGATCGACAGCTCCAGCCTCTGCTGCCGTCGAGCTCTTGCTGTTTTTCCCGTCGTTCCGTCGTACGGTAGTTGGGCATTCCTTCTCCCGCTCTCTCGAAGGTTCCTGCCTCTCAGCACTGGGGCTCTTCGCCGCGTTAACCCTTCCGCGGCCAGTGGGGGTCTGCTCGCACCCGATTATACCTGATCCCACCCCCTTTTGTTTGAAGAAACTTTAAATATATATATTTTCCTTTTTACATTTATTATTTTTTTTTTTCTCCTTTTTTTTTTAGGCCTTGCCGCCCGGCTTCCCCTCTCCCCTCTGGCCCTTTCGGCCCATGTGAGTACTGTGAATGTGCGCTATCTTTGGCTTCTTTTCCAGCCCATCCTGCATCCTTGGTCCGTGATGCCAATCGTCATACCTGCCCCTGACTAACAGGTCCTCCAACCTTTCGCCCGGCTGCATCATGACGATCGGCCCTGGCTCGTCACCTCAATGCCGCCTTCTGTTTGGCCTTTGGCGTGACCTCTGCCCCATGCCGCTGCTTCGGACCCGAGGATCATCCGACTCCTCGCCCGTAAGCAACGCGTGGGTAGCGTCTTCTGCCCGGCCAAGCCCGACGGCTGTAGATGACCCAGGCATCCTGGACCCCAGGACCCGGATTATCCCTCACACTTCATTGGACCCCCGAGGGTATCTCTCCGCCCGGGTCTCGGTCAGCCGAACGCCTTTGGCTTCTGGATCTCTTCGCCCGTTTCTGATTCCTTATTTTCCTTCGTCGTTTGCCTGTGGCTTTAGATCCCCAATATGTGCCGTCCGTGTATGCCTATCGCTGTCTCTACGCAGCTTGCATATCACCGGTGACACGAAATCAGTGATCTGATAGGGACCGGCATACCTTGGGGCCAATTTTGCTGCGAGCCCCTCGGCTGCGTTAGAAAGGTGGTGCTGTTTAACCCACACCTTTTCTCCGACCTTGGGCTTCCAAGCTCTCTTTCGCAAGTTGTAATATCTTGCCTGATACTGGGCTGCTCTTTCCAAATTCCGCCTCACCAGCTGAAAAAGTTATTTCAGCTTTACCGCGTGTTCGTCCGGAGTGTTTGTCTCCTGACCCGTGCCGAGTGTTTCCTCATCGTACAACGCCTTCGGCAGCCTGGGCTCTCTCCCTTGCACTATGAATGCTGGTGCGAATCTAGTGGACTCCGTGACCCCAGAGTTCACGGCCAGCATTAACTCGGGCCACTTCTCGTCCCAGCATCTCTGGTCCCCTTCGGTGAACTGCGCGATCATGGTTTTCACCGTTCTGTTGGTGCGTTCCGTTGGGTTTTCCTGCGGCGTGTACGGTGCCGTAAACTGGTGTCGAACTCCCATCTGATCCAGAAACTTTTTAAACGCCCGACTGGTGAATTGTACCCCATTGTCGGTGATCATCACCTTGGGTACGCCGAACTGGGCCAATATTCGTTCTCTGAAAGCCTTGATCAGGGCTTCTGCCGTGGCCTTTCTCATTGCCACCAGCTCGGTCCATTTTGAAAACCGGTCCACCAGCACCAATAGCATGGCGTTCCCATGTTTTGATCTGGGCAATGGTCCCACAAAATCCGCGCACACCGTCGCCCATGGTTCCTCTGGTACTTGTGTCAGCATCTTCCCGGCCGCCTGTGCCTGACTTGGTTTGAAACGCATGCAGGTGTAACATTTCCTGACGTACGTCCTCACGTCTCGGCGCATCCCCGGCCAGTAGTACCTGGCAGCTATCCTTGCCATCGTCTTCCTGCCGCCGGCGTGACCCGCCTCCGGGGTATCGTGGTTCTCCCTCATGACCCGCTCCCGTCGATCCTTCGGCACGCAAAGCTTCCAAGCTACTACTTCTTCGTCGCCGGCCCGGTGCGGGATATGCCGGTACACCCCGCCTGCCTTTCTATACATGAGCATTGCTCTTCGGGCTCCTGTCCAACGTCCTCCGCTCGCATACATCGCTTTTCCATGGGCTGTCGAGATAGCGCGTCAGCCACCACGTTCTGCTGCCCCTTCCTATACGCTATTTCGAAGTCGTATTGCTGTAACTCTAGCGCCCATCTTGCGATTCTCCCCGTCTCCCCCCCTTTATGCTGTTAAGCCATTTCAATGCCATGTGGTCGGTGACCACCTTGAAGTGATACCCTTCCAAATTGGGTTTGAGCTTCCTGATGGCCCACACAATTGCCAGGCATTCCTTCTCTGTAGCCGAGTAATTCTTCTCCGCACTGTTCAGCGTCCGGCTGGCGTATGAGATCACCCTTTCGCCCTTCTCCGTTTCTTGGGTGAGAATCGCTCCCAATCCATAGTCGCTGGCGTCCGTCTGTAGCACAAACTTCTTCGAGAAATCCGGGCAGGTTAGCACCGGATCGGCTACCAGCCGACCCTTCACGGACTCAAATGCCTGTTGTTGCTCTGATGCCCATTCCCGCTTCACCTTTTTCTTCAGCACTGTGCTGAGCGGCTGTACCATGGTGGCGAACCCTGGCACGAAACGTCGATACCATGAGGCGACGCCCAGATACTGGCGAAGCTCTTTCACGTTCGCCGGTGGCTTCAGCTCTGCAATGGCGGCCACCTTTTCCGGATCAGTGCAGATGCCTTCTCCCGTCACCAAATGACCCAGGTACCGCAGCTCCCTTCGGCCGAACTGGCATTTTTCCACATTCAACCTCAAGTTGGCCCCTTTTAAGCGTCGGAAAACCTCCTCAAGATTACGTTGGTGCTCCTCTTTCGTTCGGCCTATAACGATGATATCGTCTTGGTATGCGAAAGCATGCGGCATCATTTCCGGACCAATAACCTGGTCCAACGCCCTCTGAAACGTGGCCGAGGCCGAATGTAGCCCGAACGGCATCACTTTCCATTGGAACCATCCCTTGCCTGGCACCGTGAAGGCTGTGAACTTCCGGCTATCCTTTTCCAGTGGTATTTGCCAGTTCCCGTCTTTCAAATCCAAGCTACTGATGAACCGTGCTTCCCTCAGCTGATCGAAGATGTAGTCAATCCGCGGCATTGGGTATGCGTCCTTGATAGACTTTGCATTGATTTGTCGGAAGTCCACGCACAACCTCCACTGACCAGTTTTCTTTTTAACCATTACGATGGGGAACTGTAAGGGCTCTTCGATGGCTCGATACACCCCATTTCCAGCAGCTTGTCTACCTTTTGGTTGATCTCCGCCTGCATCTTTGGGTTCTAAGGGTAGTATCGCTGCTTAACCGGTATCGCATCGCTCATTGTGATCGTATGCACCGCCACATTCGATACCCCTTTCATCCTCTTGAATTCCTCCAATTACTTGGCCAGAAATTCTTCGAACGGGCCTTCCTCTGCACTGTCGTGGCGCCTGCTTCCCGTGGGATACTCGGCCTCGAACTCCTCATCAGCCATTCGTTCCGGAGACTCCTCATTGGCCTCCAATACTGCCACTGACAGCCTTTCTTCCAACCGCCCTTTCCGTCGGCCTCTCGCAGGGATCACGACCCTGTGCCCCGCACAGGTCACCTCTGCTCCGACTGCGGCAATGAAATCCCAGCCTAGTACCAGCGCATCGATGACTTCTGGCAGCACCAGAAGTGCCATTGAGACCACTTTGTCCCCGAACGCCTGTTCCACTTTGATTTTTGTATCGATGGATCGACGGCGTCCATCGGCTAAACGCACCTGCTTGTCGGTTTTCTCCTCGCGCCCCTCCCCGCGCAGCTGTTCCGCCAGCTCACAGCTGACAAAGCTGCTAGTGGCCCCTGTTTCGACCGTGGCCTTCCATTTCCTCCCTGCGATGTCCACCACGGCTGACAGCTGCACATCCTCCACGGTGAGTTCACCCGACTTTTTGCAGCACTGCCATGTCGTGACGCCGACCTTTCCACACCTCCAGCAGAATGTCAACGGTCGCCCTTGACATGCCTGTGACCAGTGCTCGTCGCTTCCGCATCGTCGGCATGCTTGGGCGGGATTCTTAACGTATCCCCCCTCTATATTGGAATGTGTCTGGTCTTCCGTCGCTGGTGCCTCCACTTTCGCTTTTGTTTGTCCCGCTACGGCTGCCGGCTCGTCCTTGCACCTCCGGCACATTTCAGTCACGGCCGACTTCGAGAAGGGATTTGCCGCCTTCGCTCTTCCCGCTGGACTCTCCTTCTGGAACTCTACGCGATCCCTCTCCAGAGCCTCGAACTCATCCGCTAGCATCATCATGTGGTCCAGGTCCTTGCACCTATGTGGCCTGATGAATATACGCAGATCTGGCATGCTATTCTCGCGGATGAGCTCCATCTGCTCCTCGGGAGTACATTTGAGGGGTCTCATGAGGGTCTGCATGTCCACCATGTAGTCCTTGAATGGCTCTCCCCATTTTTTCTTCCTTTGTCGTACCTCTTGGAGCAACTTCTCGAAGTACCCCCTCGGCAAGAAGTAGGCCTGGAAGCTTGTTGCGAAGGCTTCCCATGTTTGCCACTGCCGGTTATTGGCGATGAACCACATCAACGCTCGGCCCTTCAGCAACTCTGGCATCGCTCTGGGAATCAGATTCACGTCCAGACCGTACATATCAGCCGACCATTCGGCCTGCTCCAGAAACTCCAGGGGCTTCGCCGTCCCATCGAAACGGAACGACCATTCCCTCACCTGTTTGGCTACATTCGCGTATAATATGCGCGACTGCCTCCCGGCCTGCGCCTCGGGAACTTCCCGCCCCTCTTCGTTGCGGCTCCTCGATTGTTCTCGCGTCGTGGTGTTCCGGGCCTCCGCTGGATCCACACTCTTTGGCCGTGGTCTACTGACGGACGGCCTCGGGGAGCGGCTCCTGTCTGGTATCGCCAGGCTTGCTATGAGGTCCTCTGCCGGCATTTTCCACACCGATGACGCACCCGCACCTCCCGGCAATGGCAGACGCTCGTACGCGTCGTTCCTATCTTCCGCTGGCAAGGGTGAAGCTCTACCTGCCCGGAGCTCCCAGGCCTCCAGCAGGTCTGCGCACTCCGCCTCGTGCTTCTCCACCCAGTCCTTAAATTGTCTCCACATTTCGGACACGGTGCTTTCCAGTTCCAGCCCACAGGGCACACCGGACCAGTTCTTCCTTCCTCAGGGAATGGATCCATTGTCGGCTCCTCATGGTGTATTGATACCTCGCTCAGTACCGCCCTTCCCAATGCACTCCTTTGCTTGTCGTGAGGCCCCAAGTTGGGCGCCAGTTGTAACGAACTGTTTCTGTCCGTCTAAATCAGCGAGGCTGGCTCAGCGGCCGACGGTTCGTTGCAACAAATTTGTATGTTGCCTCACAGACACGAGAGAATGCACGGGTGGGTTTAATTACTGGCTGTGGGTATTTTATTGGTATCTTATACTTATGGGATCTTACGTTCTATATAACAACGAATCGTTTCTTAATTTCTATACGCTCTCGCGCCACCAGCCCCTCAGGCTCCTCGCTGGTGCTGTGGCTATGCGTCCGACCTGGCTCACGCCTCATCTACACACACAACTCCGCACCCACCGAGTCGCTTTTGATCGCATTGGCGATAGCGGTACCTGTCGTCCCTCCTTTGGCACCTCGCAGACCTTGTTCCTCTTGCTGGGCCGTACTGCTGCCTGTTGGTTGGGTCACTTTGATCCTTCCTTGGACTCTCACGTTGACTCTCCTTGTCAGTTGTTCTACCGCACTCGCTTGTGTTCGCGCTTTTTCCTCGTTGCTCGCACTCTACTGACTGTCCTCTTTCACTGTTGCCGGGCTCCTCTTATACCCTCGCTTCGACGCTAGCGTCCGCGCCTCTGCCTAGCAACAGCGGTAAATCCGTGCGTCGCTGGTAATTTTCCATCGGCCTCTTTGCTTGATTCCCTCACGTTCTTAACGGGACCGGGCTGGTGGCGTGATCTCATGTCCATACATGGACATGCGCTGGACCGCTGCCGGCCCGCTCCCGCCGTTCCTAGCCTGACGCGAGCGCCGCTCCTTGCGTGCTCCACCATTCCCGACTCTCTCCACGGGCTCGTACCGGAGGCATGATCTCATGCCCATATATGGTCATGCGTTGGACCCCTGCCACTCTAACGGAACCCGGCTCCCGGCCGGCTCTCACTCTCTTGTGAATTCGCCGTGAATTCTCTTCTTAACCCTTACTTGGTTCCCTTGTGAGGAAACTCCATTCCTCACAACGGGTATACAAATTTTTCGCTGAATAAGTTGGATAATTTGGTGAAATCTATTGCATATATATTGATACCATTAATCAGTAACTGGCAGTAAAAAACCTGCACAAGTTTTTGCGAACTAGTTAACTAAATATATCCACCTCAGCTAAACTTCTTGATTTTCACCAATCGTTATTTTTTTAACAAAAATTAAAAAAAAACGAGAAGGAACGTGTGAGTTGCTTCTGGGGACTAGACTCTACTTTTTATAGCCGTACTCAGTCAGTATATACATTTTTGAGGTTATGATTTTGGTAAAATTTTTTAAATTTTAAATTTGCTCTGTTATCTACTAGCCTTTTTACACTAGGCGCGTCTGCTATCGATATCGGAATAGACGCGATGAAGCAGAAAAAGCGTTTACATTGGCAGAAGTGCGTTTTGAATTTTGATTTGGGTGCTTGATGACAAGGAATGTAAACAAATTTTGAGAAATCAACAGAATTTTGCAAGACAACAAGAAAATGGCCGAAAAAGAATTGATTCTCATATTTATGTATTATTTTGAGACATTTATTTGTAGAGTTTGTAGAGTTCTTCTTAAAATTATGAAAACCATCGAAGTTCGTCTCCAGCAGTGTCATAATGGCATCAGGGGGTCACAAAAATGTCGTATGATAATAATACAATCAGTTTCAAGTATTTTATTTAATGATTTTATGTATTTTCATCTTTTTGATCAACCATACATTTTTAGCGCCAAACTTTGTTTTTTGAACTACAAGTTTTTGTTGTTCTTAGTGGTGATAGTGATAGATACCACATTCTACACCATCTCCGCTAGAGGGCGCTCGCGTACATAACGAGGCTGAGTGTGCGAGCGAGAAAGAGAATGAGTAGCGGGTCTCTTGCTGAAGGAGGCGAAGGAAGCAACTGAAAATTAATTTCTTCATTCTGGCTATAATTATGATCCTATCTGATTCAGATTCGGCAATCTGGTAGATATGGGCATTCTCTACGATACTCCGTTTTCAGTTTAATCGTATCTTTAAAATTGTGTCTGCAACAGATTTTCGTCCGTTTTGGCGTCGGAAGAGGACGAAATTTTGAAATACACTTGTAGCAGTGTGATATCACAGCAGTCTGGATACAAAATTTTTTTGCTCTAGCTCTTATAGTCTCTGAGATCTAGGTGCTCATCAAGACATAGGCGTGGGGCAAGGTGGCAGCTGGACGACCTTGGCTGGAACATAGACGTTTCCCCTGTGACCCGACTCCGGTTGCGAGTTGGAGCGCCCATATAACCATAACGCTGTCGTTTCGCAGTTTAGTACGTGTTTCTGGTCTGCGTAGCGCGGAGGAACGCCACTTCGCTGTCTTTCTTGGATTAGCCAACGTTTCGTCCTTTTTGGTGTCGGAAGGGGGCGAAATTTTGAAATACACTTGTAGCAGTGTGATATCACAGCAGTATGGATACAAAATTTGGTTGCTCTAGCTCTTATAGCCTCTGAGATCTAGGTGCTCATCAAGACAGACAGACGGACGGACAGATATGGCTATATCGACTCGGCTATTGATGCTGATCATGCACCAACGTGGTGCATTCCGTTCCTGCAACACAAGTGAGTGTTGAAAGATCGTTTTCGGCTCTGAAAATGATGCTTACAGATCATTGATGCAACCTCGCTGACGAGTCGTTGTCCAAATTACTTTTTGTAAAATTAAATAATATTTAGTAATTATACGTAACCCAAAATATGGCACCAAAACCGAAAAATGTATTTTTGAAAAGAAAATTTAAGCGTGTGGGGTAGCTTTGTGGTCCCTTTACAAGGATATGAAATAATATTGGTGAAAAGTCAAACGCAGAGACCGTTACTTACTGTTGAGCTTTATTATGAGCGAAACAAATAAAAATCATTCATAATCATTATTTTTAAGTTCAATTTTTGTTGATTAAAAATAATAATTATGTGTAAAGTTTATTAAATTACTCAAAAATAATGATTACACTACTCGACAAAACCGAACTTTTTTTTTCCTCAAGGATCCAAACCGACTTTTTCTGATAGATATGGGGCTTTAAAATTTTTTAAAGAATTATGGTTTTTTTTCTATGGCAGAACTTTTTTTTGAAGAATTTTTGAAGTCTGGTATTTTTTTTTAAGCTTTTTTCAGAGGTAGCGATAGTTTTTTTCACATAACTTTAATATCTTACGTCTGGTTGTACAGAACTTTGCTATTTTGAAAAGGTAATTAAAACAGTTAGAAGCTGTTCTAGAAGCTAGAAGCTAGCTAGAAACGACGCCAAATTAACGCACCTATACACAAAAAATAGATAACACAAGATATAATTTTTTTTCGACTTTTCCTGAGTTTTTAAAGTCAAAATTTCGTAAAAAATACCCCACAAAAATCATCATTTTTGCATTTCAATGCTTTATATTTCCCAGACGGTAAGCTGAAATCACAAAGTGTTTGGCATCAACTTCTAGCTGCGTCAATTATCTTTTCAAAATAATAAAGTTCTTTACAACCAGACGTAAGATACTAGAGTTATGTGAAAAAAACAAGCGTTACCTCTGAAAAAAGCTTTAAAAAAAAATAACAGTGTTCAAAAATTCTTTAAAAAAAAGTTCTGCCATAGAAAAAAAAAAAATATCATCAAACCATTTCTAAGCCCCAAATCTTTAAGAAAAAGTTCGTTTTGTTCCTTGAGGAAAAATCGTGTTGACTAGTGTTATCATTGAAGAAAACCGTATAAAATTCAAATACAATCATTGCCATGTAATTTTTAAAATATCAATTATAATGATTACGGTCCCTGCTTCAAAGTGTAAATAAATAGTATAATAAATAATATGTTGTAGAGTGGGTTGTGTGAGCGAACGAAACGAGTGAGCAGGGGGCCTGTCCGTTATTTTTTAAATATTTACAGAGATGATATTAATTACGATTAAATACGTTAATACGTTACCTTAAACATATATGCAAATCGAACTCTCTCCACACTGTATCTACTGTGTAATGCAATTTCTCTCATTGCACTCCTTGCCAAATTATGTTCATCGGAGTTTTCAGTAATCAAAATTACGCACAGTCGTTTTCTAGGTCGGTTCCATTCAGCCGGGCATACACCTTGAACAAAATTGAATACATATTTAAATATACCTAGTATCTTGTAACATGTCAACATGCTCCTTCGATTTTTCATTTAAAAAAATCTTCCACTTCCACTGGTCTTTCTGCAGATTTAATATATCAAAAAGCATTTTATCTATGCATCCAGAGTGATAGAGATGCCTGAACGACTTAAAAAAAATTCTTGGATCTTACAATTAACACCGATATTACCGCGCGGTTGGAATTGCTTTTAAACGAGCTTGAATTTAAGATGATTTCCAAAAAAACTACATTGTGGAAAAAAAAACGGGAACAAGCTAGCGGAAGTTTTCAAAGGGAAGTTCTAAATACAGAGTGTGTGAGTGCAGTGCTTAAAGGGGATGGGTAAGCACTGAAATTTTAAAATGGTTTTTCTAAATTTAAATCAAACAAAAAACCGAGTTTGGTGGCTTCAAAATGTTATATATTTCAACGACGAAAAAAAAGGGGAGACCAAAAGGGACGTGAGCTCGAATTCAATAATATTTAACGACTTTTCTTCCACGTTACAACATCTTCTTAAGCCTAAATTATCTAGGGACGCGGGGCGAATGCGCCAAGAGCGAGAGATAGATTTCTTGCGCTTCCGCTTCGCCCTAAACTATTTTACACTAGACTTCAAAATTTAACAAAATATAAAAATGATCGTCGTGACGCGACACCAGCCCGTTGAAGGCCTGTGGGGCTTCAACCCATCGGCAGAAGCACCAACTTATGTATTGGCCTCCTGTAGACCGCTCCGCTGCTCGTCCTGAGGTCGATCACCCTGACCTTTCCTTCCTGACCGTCGTTGGTTGCGATGACCCTTCCGAGGAGCCACTGTTGTGGCGGAAGGTTGTTCTCTGCGACGATGATGAGGTCGCCTTTCTCGACGTTGGGCTGCTCCTGGTGCCACTTGCATCGAATTTACTGCCGGGACCATCGCTGCCAGAACATTTGCTTGGCTGACGAGACAAACCGCCATCGCCTTAAGCAACTCAGACCCTCCTGGTCCGGGTTCCGGTTAGTCGCTCATCGCAGTAAGTCGTAAGATCGGAGACAATTTCTAGATGAACCGCCTTGGACGCAAAACAGACAAATAACGCTATGTAGGTCTTATAAGGGGGCCTACCACGAATTTTTAGTGTCGTATAGACTGGGCCACAAAAATCAACGCCACATACTGCGAATGAGCGGAGAGCACGGAGCCGGTCTGCGGGTAGATTTCCCATCATTTGGGTCTGGAGGCGAGGCTTGCATTTAAAGCAGCGAATGCACGACCTGACCATTGCCCTGCAGACCTCCTGAGCGTTTACTATCCAAACACGCTGCCTAAGGATGCTCACAAGTGCTCGTGGGCCGGCATGAAAATTCGTTTGATGCAGATAGCGAACATAGGTCTGCACAAACTGCGAGCGTTTTGTCAACAGCAAAGGAAACTTGGCATGGTATGACATAGGAGCGTTAACTAGTCGCCCCCCAACTCGCAACAACGAAAAGGAGCACCAAGTCCCCATTTCTTCGTTGATGAAGGGATTCAATCGCTGATGACTGGGGCCTAACCTGGTGCCTTTACGAACCCTTTCGATCTCTTCCTGATACTCGTTTTTTTGGATCAGCTCGACAATTTTGTGAAATAGCCTCATCGTACTCTACTGGTGACGGACTGACTTCAAATTTTAGACTTTTGTCTTTACATTTTCGGATGAAGCGGAACACGTAAACGAACACTCTTAGCAGCTTGAGGTGTGTCGAGTATCCCTCGATTATCTCCACTAAATCATTTGATTTAGCGGCCACGGTCAGTCCGACCGCTGTCTTCCTGGTTTCCATCGTCAGGGGGGTCAAACAGCTTTGATGTCACCGATAATATGTTCCGTTTTGTCGCTTGGAGACCCATTACTGAACTGTCAATTTGGAACCGAAAGACGTCTTCGTGCGGTAGCCACGATATTCCTAACGCCTTGGTGGACTCGGAGTCCGAGATCGTTATCGGTTTAACTGTGACCTCAGGTGAGTTCGAGAACCACTTGGTTAGCTCAAACCCTGAGGTTTGAAGAACCTTATCCACGTCAGACTTAATTGTCTTTTACTCCTCCACGCAACCAGCACCAGTCAATATATCATCGACATAAAAGTCGGAATTTAGCAGCCTTTGGGAATGAGAGCTTTGCAGACTCACTCAACCTTTTCAAACACCGAATAGCCAAAAATGGGGCAGGTCCAGTCCCATATGTTAAATTGTTGAGCTGGTTTATTCCCAAGGACTCAGGTGGGTCTTTTCTCCACACTATCATCTATCATCGACAAAAACCGCCGTTTAGCAATCTCGAAGGAATTGCCCAAACAGTTTGGATCTGATTTAAACGGCAGCCTTACTTCAAACCGAACTGAAGGCAAGACTTGAGTAGTCTTTCTATAATGCTCCTCACATAACTTGTGTTCAGGAGATAAAGAATAATTAGAAGAGGGAAATTCTTCTAGTGACCAAAACTTTTGTAGTGTGTTGTCGATAGACACAACTGACTCTTCTCGAGAACTGAGACAGTTCCTCGCTTCCTGGGTGACACTCACCTTTGGACTGTATCTTCCAGACACAATCCAACCGAGAAGCGTTTTCTGCAGAGTTGGATAGTCAGGACCTTGTCTAATTTGACCAACAGATAAGAGTTCAAAAAATGACTCTGCACCTATCAACATATCTATTCTTTGTGGCTTGTAGACATATGGGTCGGCAAGAGGTAGGTTCTTCGGGATTTTCCAGTCACTCACATCAAGTGCGTGATCAGGGTGGTATCCCGAGATTGAGTTCAGAATCCAGAAATCGACAGAGAACTCATTACCATTGACCATTCACCACCGTGTGTATCTTTTTCTTGACTTATGAATTAGATTCGCCAATTCCAAGCAAGTTGATGCACGACTCCTCCCTACGGATCTGTAAGCGCTGTTCCAGGTATCAGTTATGAAGTTAGTTTGTGACCCAGAGTCAAACAGTGCTCGGGCCAAAACGTACTCTCCATTTTTGGTTCGGACGATTACGATCGACGTTGCCAGAATTACTCTATCCAAAGCTGTCGCATGGAGTGCATGCGAAGTGGAAGGGTTATTCTGACTAGGAGGGGGAGAAGAATTCTCTGGGGCATTGCAGTAACTACAATGTTGGTTTATAGCATGCGCAGTAGGCACAGCTTTCTCGGCCGAAAGATGCTGATACCTGCGGTTAAGCATTTTTTCGATGTCAGCCCAAAGCGGCAGCCTCTCATAATCGAGCTGTTCTTCCCATTTCTGTTTGGTCACAGGATCGACTCTGTTCAAGACGAGATGAATAAGCATTGCATTTGAGATCTTTTGGTCATCGCCTATCGACAACAAGGAACCATATATCGATGAGGTGGTATCGATTAGGTTCCTTAAGGACGATGCAGATTGCTGGGTCATTTTGGGAAGACTAAATAGGGCAGCAATTTGGTTCATAAAGATCAGACATTCGTTATTATAGACCCATTTTAAGCTGGCCATGGCTTTCTCATAATTACTCTCGGTTACTTGGAACGCACTTACCGTTCCCAACGCTTCACCAGAGAGGCATGAAAGCAAATGGTTAAGCTTTTCGATAAGTGGAATGCTTTCGTCATTATGAACAAGAGTCTCAGATAAACTAATGAAGCTTTTGAATTCCGAATATTTGCCACTGAACTTTGGCAGAGCTAACTTCGGAAGCTGATACTGAAGGCATTGTATCGCTGGCTGTCTTCAAGGCGTCGATAAGCGACTTTATCTTTGCCTTGGTTACAATCGACAGTTCTTCCAATTCGGCTCCAAACTCATCGTCACAATCTATTTCTTCTATTGATTCTTGAACTTGGCTATGGTTGCTTTCAGTACGTCGAGTCTGCACTCGAGCTCTGTCAATTGCTGCGGAATCTCCCCAGCTTCCAGCCGGTCTGCTAATCAGCGAATGCCTTTGACACGGGACCTGAGCTTTTTTTTCAGCTCTTCAAGAATAGGCTTTTGATCTGATTTTGGATTCATCTTGACTCTCGATGCTTAAGGGAATCACTAATCAGGGCTTTTCTCACGATAATATTATTTGCTGAGGCACAAATTGTCGAAACAGGACCCAATTGAGGCCCGACGATTAAAGGGTATCGAGGCACTTGGCAATCTATTGGCGCAGGAGTGCCAACACAAAACACACAAGAACAACAACAAACAGCAACGGTAACAAGCGAAAGCGAAAACGAAAATTCACCGCTGCAGCTGCTATGCTGGTATGTGTGCGCTTGGCCAATGACCGGACTATATATTTGCGCAACGAAAACGAGAAAGAGGGAAGGGGCGACAGTGATTGCAGTTATAAATTATATGTATATATGTTCTGCGTCCAAGATGGTTTGATGTACATATGTGAATATGTGATATATGTAATATATATACAAAATTTACTAAATATATGCAAATCTAGCTCTACTATGTCATACGTATGTGCCAAAAATTGAAAGCGAGGCGCACTTATTTTAGCACAGTAACTGCGAGGCTTTAATGATTTTGTCTTTACTCGAGCTTTCAATTTTTTGCACAAATACCTCTATGTATATAAGATGGGATCCTGGTAAATTTTACTTTCCTTGGCAGGTGACAAACCTATTGCGGAATGGATATCCCTCGGCGGTAGAGACCGCTTTTTTAGCCGACCGGCGCGGTAGTTTTAGGTTTGATGTTTCTGCTGCACACACACGCGACGGGGGCAGGTGTATATAATATACACATAAACTATTAAATATATATTTTATATACATTTAACCACCTGTGTCACTGACACTTTCTGCCTTTATACTATTATATTTTCTATTTTCGCGCCATGTATTTAGTTTTTGCTGGAAATTTTTCGAATTCAAAAAAAATCATTTCTTGGCCAACATTTTTATACCCGTACTCCTCACCGGCGGGTCGGAGCTAACTGACCTTTTAAATTTCCCCCCCCTTAATACTTT